CGTTCCTGCAGCACCACAGAGCCACCCCTACTTGTTGACATTTTTTATGCCCTCGGAGGTGCCACATGAGCCAAGATTTTTGCCTGTTTGTTCATTACTGCATCTCCAGTACCTAAAATGAAGCCAGAACACAGAGTGGCTCTCAGGATCTTGCGAGTACCAGGCACCTGCTCCCTTCTCCCAGCTCTGGGGAAAGCCAAAGATGGAGTAGACGGCCTGGGCTCTGAGCACCCTCGGGCTGGAGTTGGGCTCTGCCACCAGGTTCCTGTGGAGTGTCATTCTGGAGAGAATCTGGTGCACAGAAGAGTATGAGCTTGGGATCTGCTCATCAGCTGCGTGGCTTTGACCAACTACATAACCTTTGAAGCTTTCGTTTTCTTTTCTCTTTGTTTAGAGGTTTTGCCATAGGATGTGTGTGCTTTCTGGAAAGAGGGACAGAGACAATAAGAGGGAAAGTGAGAAATCACCACCACCCCCCCCGGGGGAAATGACCACTACCATCCCTCCTCCTGGGATTTTGGGCACGGATGCACATGCATGTTCACATGTACCTGGCGTGATTCTTTTATTTATTCATTTATATTTTATTTTTATTTTATATATATAAATTTTTAGAGGTTTTTGCGATACGGCACGTGTGCTCGCCAGACAGACTGAGAGAGACAACGAGATAGAAAGTGAGAAATCACCCCCCAGAGGGGATGGCCACGCTGCAATCCCTTCTCCTCCATTCTCCTCTCGGGATCTTGGGCATGCACAATATATATATATTAAGAATTGCTTTATTTATTTTACTCATTTATTTTTAAATTTGATGAATGAGAGAGAGAAGAGAGAGGGAAAGTGAGAAAGCAAGCCGCCAGGTCCAGGACTTGAACTGTGGTTGGCCATGTGGGAGTCTAATGCCCTTAACTATCACTCCACCTGACAGCCCCTGGCAAGGAACCAGGACTCAAACTGCAATCGACCATTCGGGAATTCAGTAGCATAATCAGTACACCACCTGCTGGCCCCTTCTTATTTAAAAAAAAAAAAAAATTTAAATTTTATTATCATTATTGTTATTTTAGAGAGAGATTTTTGCTATAGGGCACATGCGCTCTCCGGAGAGACAGAAAGCAAGAAAGGACTCTGCAGGCGGGATACAGTCCCTTCTCCTCCATTCTCTTCTCAGGATTTTGGGCATGCATATACACATGTCCCATGTGAGTTTTAAGTTACTGGGTCGAGGCCTCGAACAGGGTCGACTACATGGGAGTCCAGCGACATAACCATTGTGCTATCTGCTGGTCCCTATTATTATTAATTTTTAGTTTGCTATAGGGTATATACATTCACCAATGAGAGAAAGAGAAAATGAGAAAGCAAGTTGCCAGGTCCAGGGTTCAAACCGCAGTCAGCCAGGTTGGAATCCAGCATTTTAATGACTATGCCACCTGCTTACCCCAGAAGCTTTAGTTTTCTTTCTTTCTTTCTTTGTTTCTTTGTTTCTTTCTCTTTTTTTTTGAGAGGTTTTGCTATAGAGGGTATGCACTCGCCAGAAAGACAGAGAGAGACAGAGAGACAGAAAGCAAGACATCACCCCCTAGGAGGGATGGCCACGCCGCAATCCCTTCTCCTCCATTCTCCTCTCAGGATCTTGGGCACGCACGCACATGTGCCCAGCGTGAGTTTAAGCCACTGGGTCTGGGACTCAAACTGTAGACGACTACATGGGAGTCCAGAGATATAGCCATTACACCAACTGCTGTCCTGTTATTATATTTTAATTTGACCAGAGAGAGACAGAGACAGAGAGACAGAATGAGAAAGGGAGAAAGCAAGGTGCCAAGTCCGGGATTCGAACTGTAGTAGGCCATGCAGGAATCCAGCACCTTTAGCCACCATGCCACCTGCTGGCCCCCAATTTTTTTTTTTTGAGTGAGAGATTTCTGCTATAGGGCAGGTGTGCACTTGCTGGAGAGACAGAGAGACAGAAAGAAGAAATCACCACCCAGCAAGGATGGCCATGCTGCAATCTCTTCTCTTCCATTCTCCTCTTGGGATGTTGGGGACACACATGCACCCAGTAAGTTTTTTTTTTTTAATTTAGAATTTTTTAAATTTGGGAACCAGCAGTTAGTATAATGGCTATGTCGCTGGACTCCCATGTAGTCGATCGCAGTTTGAGTCCCGGACCCGGTGGCTTAAAACTCACGCTGGGCGCGTGTGCATGTGTGCCCAAGATCCTGAGAGGAGAATGGAGGAGAAGGGATTGCAGCGTGGCCATCCCCCCTGGGGGGTGATTTCTCACTTTCTGTCTCTCTGTCTCTGTGTGTGTGTGTGTGTGTGTGTGTATGTGTATTTTTTAATGACCAGAGGACACATCAGCTCGTTGGAGAGAGACAGAGAGGGAGAGAAAGTGAGAAAGCACCTCCTGTGGGGAATGCTCACACCCCAATCCCTTCTCCATCTCTCTCTCTTTTCAGGATTTTGGGCATGCATGCATACATACCTGGCATGTTTCTTAATCTGCTGGGTCTGGGACTGAAACCACAGAGTTGTCCATGTAGGTTTCAACCACATTAACTATCACACCAAAGGCTGGTCCCCCAAGTTTTTTTCTTTTAGGGTTTTTTTGTCTTAGGGCACATGCACTTGCAGGAGAGCAAGAGAGACAGACACAGTGAGAGGGAAAGTAATAAATCGCCCTCCAGGGGGATGGCCATACTGCAACCATTTTTCTCCACTCTCTTTCCTTGATCTTGGGCACACATACACACATGCACCGGCATGAGTTTCAAGCTGGGTCTAGAGCTTAAATTGCAGTTGGCCATGTGGGAGTCCAGCAATGCAACTGCCACGCAATCTGCTCCCCGACCCCGAAGTGTTTTTTTTTTAAGAATTATTTTATTTAATTTTATTTATTCTGATTTGGGCAGAGAGAAGAGACAGAGAGAGAGACAGCGAGAAAGCAAGCTGCCAGGTCCAGAACTCAAACCATGGTTGGCCATGTGGCAGTCCAGCAGTCCAGTGCCCTCAACCACCATGCTACCTGCCGGCATCCAAGTATTTTTTATTACCAGAGGTGTGTGTGCTTGCCGGAGAGATTCAGAGAGATGGGTTGGGGGAGAGAAGAGGGAGAAAGCACTCCCCACTGGGGCAAGATCACACTGTCATCTCTTCTCTTTCATTTCTCCATTTTATCTGGATTACGGGCATGCTTGCACACACACAACCTGTGCCTAATTTTTAAATTTTTATTATTTTATTTAACTTTATTTATTCATTCATTTATTTATTTCAGTTTGACCAGAGAGGGATAGAGAGAGAGAGAGAAAGCAAGCTGCCAGGTCCAGGACTTGAACTGCAGTCAGCCATGTGGGAGTCCAGCACCCTTAACCACCACGCCACTTGCCGACCCCCCCTAATTTGTTTTCAAGTCGCTGGCAGGATTCGAGCTGCAGTTGACTATGCGGGATAAAGCTCCCTTAACCACTAGGCTGCAGGCCGGCCCTAAATATACCAATTTCTAAATTTGGAAAAGTCAAAAAAATGTTTTAAAAGACCTCTTTTCTTTAGTTTTGAAAGTGTGTGTGTGTATGTGTGTGTGTGTGCACGCGCGTGCATCTGTGTGTGTGACAGTTGTGCTAGCCAGAGAGACAGCAAGGGGAGAAAGTGAGGGAGAAAACTCCTGTGAATGAGATATGGTCATGCTATAACCCTTTCACCTTTATTTCTCCACCTACTCGGGATTTGGGTGCCTGGAGCCTGTTTTTCAACCCAAACAGGTAAGATTCTAACCATGTGGTGAGCCATTTGACCGCCAACTCCCCTAACCACTAGGCCACAGAACTGCCCTTGAAACTAATTTTGTTTGTTTGTTTGCTATAGGGCATGTGTACTCCCTGGAGGGAGGGAATGAGAGAAATTACCTCTAGAGAGTATGTCCATGCTGCAATCCCCTCTCCTCTGGTTTTCTCTCTGGATTTTGGGCATACCCACTCAACATGTGTTTTTCAAGCCATGGTCCAGATCTTGAACAGCATAGTCAGCTATGTGGGATCCAGCTGCCCTAACCACCATGCCACTGGCTGGCCCCAAAGCCAACTTTTTAAAAGTAAAAATACCCTGGGGGGGGGATTGGTTGGCCGTGCAGCTGCCTAACTCCAGGCCCAGCAGTGCCCACTCAACACGGGAAGGGGGAGCCCTCCCCGGCCTGTGACCAAGGGCTGGTTGAGGTTGAGATGGATGGCTGACATCTGTGTGCTATATCTCTCTCTCTAACTCTCGCTGGCTCATGGAGGAAATAAATGAATACAAATTTTAAAAAGATCCCCTGAAGGCCAAATGAGGTATTTCTGTGGGCTAGATTTGACCTTGGGTTACGAATTTTCCACTAATGGTTGTCCAAAAGGTGACACCCTTAGTTAGCCTCTTGCACTTATGCAAAACCTTCAAGGTAAAACCTTTCTGTAAAAGGTTCACAGCCCATCTTTGTGAGACTCCAAGTGTGTACAACGTTGGCACACAGTAGGTACGCTACACAATTAACTGAAGCGGTAGCTTGAACGGCTGATTTCAGAAGCATGTATTTAAGGAACATGATATCCCAGAGGCCGGGACACTGGGAAGGCGAGAACAGAGAAAGAAAGCAAAGAGAAGATTTAAAAAAAAAAAAAAAAAGACGGAAAGGAAGAGGTGAGGAGGCAAGAGGGTCCGCCCTCCAGGCGGGGCGCCAGCGAGAGGCCCAGGCCGGGGCGGGAGCGCACGTGGCCTATTTCGGGCGGAGCAGGCGCGCCTGGCTGCACAGGAGACCTCCGAGCCAGCCACGAGAGAAGATCCGGGCGGGTAGGTTAGAACCCGGCCGCAGGGACCTTCCACACCGCGCGGGGGCTGCTCAGGGTCCCCGGGAGTTGCGGAAAAGCGGAAGGCGCTGGGTGTGGGGTGGCAGCCCTCCCCCCGGCAGTTTGGGCCAGACGCCTGGGTCCTCTGGGCTCCTCCCCTGGAGGCGGGGCTAGACGGTCGGACCAATGATCGGTCGTCCCTGGGGCCCCGCCCCCTCCCCGCCCCCGGAGCCGCGGCCTCCCAGAGTGCCCAACCGCCCGGCGCCCAGGCCTGGGGCAGCTCGAGCGCCGAACCTTCGGCTGGTGAGTGCGTATCCTCCCCCCCGGGGTCTCCGCCCCGATCCCGCCTCCAGCCCGTGCCCTAGAGCTCACGGTCGCCGACCCAAGCGCCAGGGAGTGACTCAGCTTGGGGAGGGTGATGACTCGCGGGGGCAGGAGATTCGAACTATTCAAGGCCTTGAATGCCGGGATGAGGGGGGTGAACGGGTGTCCCCGGAATTGGTCCCCAGCCAGTGCCGGGGCGTGGGACTGGACCGTGGTGGACTGGAGCGAGCCAGACTCGTAGTCCAGGACAGGGCGGCAGAAGCCGCGGATCGGCTGCACCGCCTTGCCTGGGCCAAGGGCCATGGGGGGGCGGGGACGGGTCCTGAGCTTCTGACCCAGCTCCCGGTCTCAGGACACCAAGATGCCTGGCGAGCAGCAGGCAGAGGAGGAGGAGGAGGAAGAGATGCAGGAGGAGATGGTGCTGCTGGTGAAGGGTGAGGAGGATGAGGGTGAAGAGAAGTACGAAGTGGTGAAACTCAAGATCCCCGTGGACAACAAGGAGGTATGTGTCACATACACACTGGGGCCTGTTGCCCCCAAACCTGGTTCAGGCCCAGCCACCCTCAGACAGAAGCTAGGATTCCTGCCTGAATCCCAGACCTAGAATCTTGGAGTCGGCCCCACTGCCCAGGCTTCCGTCATACAGATGTGTCACCTCCTATGTGTGCCAGGCTCTGCTGGAGCCTAAAGGCTGTCCTTGAGTCCCCATGGGACTTGATATCCAGCAGGATTAGACGACAGTAATCACTCAGTTACAATCCTGTGTGATGGCACAGAGCGGTGAAGCCCCAGGGGTGGGACCTTAGTTCAGGCCTAAGGGTGGGGTCAGGTTAGGCAACAGGAGCAGCATTACTGTGTGCCAGGCACTGTTCGAAGCTCCTCGATTCTATGATCTAGGTAGTATTTATTCCATTTTACAGGTTAGGACGTCGAGACAGACCCAGGCCAGTGTGATGACTAGCCCAAGGTCTCCAAGTTAGTAAGGAATGGCTTATCTAAGACTGGTAGGAGTCTGAGGGCTGAAGTGGAGTGATTCCCCCAGGCAGAAGAAATGGCCCATTTAGAGGCTCAGAGCAGTGAGTGGCGACTGCGAGCAATGAAGGCGGGTGACTCAGTTATGCTGCAGTGTGGATGAGAGGGGTGTGGGTTGGCAGACCACTACCGAGTGTGGGTTTTATCTTGAGGGCATTTGAAGGTTTTTAGGAGGTCAGAATATGAGTTCGATTTCCCCATCCAAGATCCTAACTTCTACCAGGTGTGTTTCCATTTCCCAGAACCCCACAGGACTCTGGCTTTCCTCAGCCTGAGCAGCCCGGAGTCCAGCTGGAGGGCTCCTGCCTGGCCAGGTTTCAGCTCCCAGGTTTTGAGGAAAGAAAGTTCTGCTGCCCCCTAGTGGGCATGGTGGGTCCTAGGAGGAGAGGACTAGTCCTTAGGCCTCCTCTTCCCTTCTAAATAACTAGTTCTATTTTTCTCTGACTTCCTTGGCCCATCATCCTGGCTCAGCCTGCCTCTTCTGGCCCAGTGGATCCTCTGATCTCCACCTTCAGACTTTAAGTTAAAAACACAGATTCCAGAGCTTAGAGTGGACTTCCAACTCTATCACTTCCCAGCTATTCGGTTTTGGGCAAGTTTCTTAACCTCTCTATGCCTCAGTTTCCTCATTTGTAAAAGGGAAATCATAACAGCACCTGGTTGGAGTTGTGAAGATTGAATACTCATAAAGGGGTTAGAACTGTGTCTGGCACAAAATAAGCAATACGTAAGTAGTTGCTATTATTATTTATTCTCCCTAAAGTTCATAACCCTGGCCTAGGTCATCCTTCTGTAGATTTTTTTCTACTCATTTGTATCAAAAGCCTTTCTAGGCTGAACTCTGAGAGCTGGAGTTGAACAGGGAAACCAACATGGAGATATAGACAAAGGATTGAGATAAACTACTCCAAGCAGTAGGGAAGGCTTGATGGAGATGAGTTTGTTTTCTTTTTTTCTTTTTAGAGAGATTGTTTGCTATAGGGCACGTGCACTTGCCGGAGGTACAGAAAGCGAGAAATCATCCTCCAGAGGGAATGGCCACACCACAGTCCCTTCTCTTCCATTCTCCTCTTGGGTTTTGGGCGTGCGCGCGCACACACACACACACACACACACACACACACACACACATGCCTGTGAGTTTTAAGCCACCAGATCCAGGACTTGAACTGCAGTTGATTATGTGTGAGTCCAGAGTCCAGCGATATAACTATTATGCCATCTGCTAGTGCCTTTATTTAATTAATTTATTTATTTAAGTTTATTGATCTGTATCTTCCATGAGAGGTAGGGGACCCCCAGCAGGTACCTCTAGGCTCAGCCAACTCAGATCGCAGGCATCTACACTTGCCTGTTTGTGGAGGTCCAGGGACTTCCCAGGTGGGTCTGGTTGCATTACTAAAAGATTTAGACTGCTGTAAGGTACAGGAGAGGGAGTTTTGACTTGGACCTTGAAGGCTTAGTGGAGTATGGCAAATGAAGGAGGAAGAAGGGCCTTCTTGAGGAAGAAATGGCAAACAAAAACAAAGAGCCAGAAGAGATGAGACTAGAAAGGTAGATGGGATCAGAGAGTGACGAGCCTCTGCAGCCCGCATAGGTAGGAATTTGGATGGACTGCGTTAGGTTATGTGGTGCTATCAGAAGCCTTAAATCGGGGGGCGGGGGGACAGGACTGGATTTTCTGTCTTGGAGACTCACTGGCTATTATGGGGAGACCTGGCCAGGTAAGGCTGTAGCCTGCTCTAAGGCAATAACAGCAGTGGTGGGGAGGGGGAGATGTTTGAGAACTCCCATTAGACTGGCAGGAGCTGAGGGGGCCGAGGGGAGTTTGGTACGACTTGTCCTGAAAGGTTAGTCGGGCCAGTATGTAAATGGTATCACGTACCAGTAAATGCTAACTCCATCATTTGCCAACCGTGCCTCAGCTTTCTCATCTGTGAGATGGGATAATGAAATAAGACCCTTGAATGCCAGGGTGTCAGAAATGTCAGCTGGGTGACTGGATTTGGAGGGGGAGAATGGAATCGAGGACCACACACACATATCCTGTGAACATTTAGCACTATGTCCACGGAATAGCTCATTAATGTACTGTGTGGCCTCCTCGGGCTTCCTTTCTTTATAAATTAGTGATCCTGAAAGTACCTTTTGGTGCTGATGTTCTGTGACGTTCAGCTGTCACTAGTCTCAAAGCAAGACCAGAATAGGTCTTAATTATGCTGCATTTGGAGGCTGGAATATACTCTCTGCCTGTCAAAATCTAATCTGTGAGGAATAGAAAAGCTTTTCTCAGGGACCTCCGTGCATATCCCAGTCTGTCTATCTTGGGCTTGATGAACCCTTGAGTAGTTTTCCGTTTCCCTCAGGATGAAGACTCGGCTCTTAAGGCTGGCATTCAGAGCTCTTCACCATCTGACCTCATGTCCTTCTGGCATCCGTAAACACAATGCCTGTCCCATGCCCCAGCTTCAAGCAGACCATTCAAAAAGGGTCAGCCCTTTTCCACCTACATTCTGTAGGAGTAGCTCTTCTCTCTTCCAGATCAGGTTTCTTATATTTTTTAATTACAAGATCAGATTTCCTTTTCTTTTTTTTTTTTTTTTTTTTTTTTTTAAGGTTTGCTTCCTTTTTTTTTATAC